CATGGTAAAATGAACAAAAACATAAACAATCGAACTAAACTGTGCTACTACACTACGGTAGGAATGCCGTTGTATCACAAAATTTACAGTTATGGGCTGATTATGTCATTCAATTTCCATTTGTTGGCCTAAAACCACTTTTCCACCAACTTAGATAGACATAGCTCAGTTCAATCCTATTGCAGATACAACTTTACTAGAAAAAGTCAAAACAGTTTCCGAATTCCACCACCCATCACCAAACTCAACTCGTGTTTCTGGCTTCAGCCCAACAGTTGAATAATTTAGATCAGCTAATTCCATTTCCTATTACTACTGTTCCCCAACTTTCCCTAACCTGTCTTTGTGTATTGTTTCAGGATGACTTAATGACATTACCGTACTTTGTAAGAAAAACGTGCACTAACTAAAAGAAATTGACTAGTCACGTACGTGAACAGCTCCATAACTTACATACATACCCCTTCATTTTGTAGCTGGTACGAAAAGACACTGCCCTTATTTGAAACGGACACAAAATCAAGCTTTGGAATTTGCATTGGTCTAAATCAAAGTGATAGTTTTTATTTATTTTCTAGTTTTAAAATGGGGTTAAGCTTTTGACAAGTTAACACAAAACCATTATTAATTTTCCCTTGATGAGCAGCTACCAACGACCACCGGCTTTCCATCCATTTATTTCCCCCTCAGCTTGCTGGCTGCTACTGGGAACGATAAATGCCCCCAGGCTCAAACCATTTTCTTAGAGACCATTTTCTTTTCCTCATTTTATTTTTTTTGGATTAGACTTGCGTGCCCGGGTACACCAAACATTAATAACACAAATGGAAAAAGGGGCAAACACAAGCAAACCTCAGCTTATTAAGAGAAGATCTCACAAAAGTCAAATTGTTTATCCACTCCGATTAAAGTTTGTATTTATTAAAAATACTTATTACCAAAACCAAGGGTGAAGCTAAAATCACCTACCTGCACACAATGTATATTGGTTAGAAAAAAAGAAGAAAAAAAAAAGTTTGGTTTTCCAAAAGTGGTTGAGCTACATACATGGAAGACTTTTCTAATCTACCTCCCCCAAAGGTTAATTAACAACTAGACTCAATAGGTTTCTTGCGGTGAATGTAGTCTCACCGTGCGTGGGGCGTGAGGAGAAGCTAATAACATGTTTGTTGTGTAGGATCAATAGGTTTCTTTATAAGCCAACCAAAACCCACCTCTTATGCAAACATCACATTCCATTACAAACCACCTGGCATGGGTCACAATAGCATAGACATGGAGAAGGAGAGATTAACGGCGGAGATGAACTTCAAGGACTCGTCCTCCGCCGTCATCAGAATCCGGCGGCGGATGCCGGATTTCCTTCAGTCGGTGAAGCTCAAGTACGTGAAGCAGGGATTGGGATACGCGTACTCGTGCAACGCAGGCACGGGCATTGCGATTGCGATGCTAGCCATGAGTAGTGTAAGCCTGAGCGGTGTGAAAGTGTGGGTGGCAGTGGCGGGGGCGCTGCTCTTGGGTCTGTACCAGTGGAAGCGGTCCCCCTCGGTGTACATGGTGGACTTCGCGTGCTACAAGCCGGAGGAGGAGCGGAAACTGTCGGTGGAAGGGTTCCTGAAGATGACCGAAGAGAGTGGGGCGTTCGAGGAAGAGTCGCTGGAGTTCCAGAGGAAGATTTGCAGGAAGGCGGGGTTGGGCGACGAGACCTACGTTCCGAGGGGAATCAGTTCCCGGCCGCCGAATCTGTGCATGGAGGAAGCGCGTGTGGAGGCGGAGGCGGTGATGTTCGGCGCTCTGGACGCGCTTCTGGCGAAAACGGGAATTGAGGCGAAGGACATTGATATTCTGGTGGTGAATTGCAGTTTGTTCAACCCTACACCTTCTCTTTCGGCGATGATAGTGAACCACTACAAGCTGAGGAGCAACATCAAGAGCTTCAACCTGGGGGGGATGGGATGCAGCGCGGGGTTAATCTCGATTGACTTGGCGAAAGACCTTCTGAAAGCAAACCCTAACTCGTACGCGGTGGTGGTGAGCACGGAGAACATGACGCTGAATTGGTACATGGGAAAGGAGCGGTCCATGCTTGTGTGCAACTGCATTTTCCGCATGGGAGGGGCAGCGGTGCTCTTATCCAACAAGGGGCGGGAGAGGGCCCGGTCCAAGTACGAGCTGCTCCACACCGTACGGACGCACAAGGGGGCCGACGACAGGAACTACAATTGCGTGTACCAGAAGGAGGACGGCAGCGGGAAAGTAGGGGTGTGTTTGGCGAGGGAGTTGATGGGCGTGGCAGGGGACGCTCTCAAGACAAACATAACCACTTTAGGGCCTCTGGTACTCCCTTACTCGGAGCAGTTTATGTTTTTGGTGTCTCTGTTTCGGAGGAAGCCCTACATTCCGAACTTCAAGCTGGCCTTTGAGCACTTTTGCATCCACGCGGGGGGGAGGGCGGTGCTGGACGTGCTGCAGAAGAATCTGGAGCTGAGCGAGTGGCACATGGAGCCCTCCAGGATGACCCTCCATCGGTTCGGGAACACCTCCAGCAGCTCCCTCTGGTACGAGCTGGCTTATACCGAAGCCAAGGGTCGGGTGGCCAAGGGGGACCGTGTTTGGCAGATTGCCTGTGGCTCTGGTTTCAAGTGCAACAGCGCCGTTTGGAAGGCCCTGCAGGACATCCACGTCCTCACCGACTGGCGTGGCAACCCCTGGGATGACTCCTTTCATTACTACCCTATTTCTCTTCCTGCTGCTGCTTAATTATATTATTATCACTAATATCAATTTATCACTTCTCTCTCTAATGTCTCATCCCTTTTAATATCATTTCTCATCAATTCAAATTTATTTCACAATCCTATAATAATTCCCTATCCATATCTAACATACATAATTATAGTGGATTAAGCCTAACTCAACCCTACAAAACCGGCTTGTAAGGTGAGGGTTGTTTTCTACTTATATACTAATCAATTGCCTAAACTCTAGTCGATGTGGGACTTAGGTTTTTCCCAATACACCCCCTCACGTCCAGCACTATCATCATCCTCTGGGAACTTAAGAAGCGGCTAGGGAACGCTAAAGGACAGTGGGCCGACGAGCTCCCCAGCATCCTTTGGGCGTATCATTGCACCCCCCAGTCAACAATGCAAGAAACGCCTTACAGGCTGACTTACGGAGGTGACGCAATGATCCCAGTGGAAGTCGGAGAGACATCTCACCGATGTAAAGTCTTCAATAGCGAGCAGAACGCTCAAGAGTTAGCAGCCGACCTTGGCTTAGTTGACGAGCTCAGAGACGAAGCTCAAATCCACGAAGAAGCCTGCAAGCTCCGAGCTTCCCTGATGGAACTAGGTTGAAGAATTGATGTTCAACAATGCTTCCATGCAAAGGACCGTGATGCTTCTTGAGGTAGACACCTTTAGAACTCTGAAATCTCCTTTGAAGAAGCTTCAATGGAGGAGAAGTCCTTGAATGAGGTTCGACCACTCTTTAAGCTTGTGAAGGAAGCTTGAGGAACCAAGCAAAGTTTGAAGAACTTTGCTAGAAACCTAGAGAGAAAATTCCCTACGATTTTGGAGACTCTTGAGTGAGAGAGAAAATCTGATTTTCATTCTCAAAATGTTCAAAAGTGAGTACAAGTGAAGGAATTACAAATATATAGGGAGAGGTAGCTTCTAGGAGAAGCTAACCTTAACCATGGTTCACTAGGAACCATGGTAAGGTGTAGCTAACCATCCATGGTTTCTAAAACTTGTAGGAGAAGCTATCCTTGACCATGGTTCACTTAAGAACCATG